TATATATATATATATATATATATATATATGTGTGTGTGTGTGTATATATATATATATATATATATATATAATGATAACCTATTTGAATACGCCTGTTCATGTACTTCACCTGTCGAAAATTCCCAGCAAGCGACAGAATCATATATATTTTTAGCTAAATCTCGTTGATGGTGTAACACGCGTGTGCATCGTCGCACGTATATATTTTACATGAGCGTGTGTATAGATGTAAAATTGGTGTCTATGTAACGTGATTAGGAAATGATAAATAAACAAAGTTCAGACCTGTCAAACTGATCATACAAGTTCATTGAAGCCTTGTCAGGCACTAGTTACTAACCAAAAAAAACTTTGAATCATGAACGGAAATTATGTAGTAGAACAGACGTCTCCAAAATCATATACCATGTAGTGGTATAGTATAGACAGTATTGTTCTACTTAAGTGTGTGGTATGCCCATTTGGATACTGAGTAGCCACCCAATTGACAAAGCCATATAATATGTAGTTGTATAGTACAATATTTGTACCGTGTACCAAGACACTATTATCTGGGATTGACAACCAGACACTATGAAGTTGCATAGTTGTCCAAGACATATACTTTACTATTATGTAGTATAGACGCTATAAGATTGAAAAGGTCACATACGATGTAGTTTCAGTAGAGTAGTTGTATTGTATACTGAGACATGATATACTATTATCTAATATAGTAGCCATCATTTTCACAGAGTCCCATACTATGTGGTCGTATAGTACAATGTGTGCTGTATACCGAGACACATACTATACTATAATCTAGTATAGTAGCTATATAATTGACAAGTCACATACTATGTAATCGTATAACGCAGTGCCCTCTCCCTTGAGATCAGCAATGTTCGGTTCTGCCACAGGCAAATGAATGTAATATACACTCTCATACGTCTCCTGCAGCACAATTGATAGCCCAGCAATGTTACCCAATAAACACAGAGTGCATACAACCGTCGCCGGTCTCGGCAGTATCTTGGTTAGCCTCTCCATATGTACTAGAGTACGCTTGTATCTGGTTGAAGAAAAATTGCTGTGTGTGTATGTGGTGTTCTAAACTCTAATCTCGGATGCGGTATAAGGTTGTGAACCGTGATCGTATACATCCACGGGGCGCTTCATACTCATCACCGATATTTTGTGATATCAGTTTAACAGGGTTTCAGTGTAGGGTTTTGGCGCTGAGATAAGGACAAAATGACCCTCTAACAGAAGGACAACAAACATACCATTTGCCCCTAACCACGTGACCTATGTCCCTGTCGTGAAAGAGAGTGTCGGTCTCAGTCGGAACTCGGAAGTCGGAACAGGGCTTTTGGCTTTTGACACAATATATTTGGAGCTTTTCCCGCCAAAACGATTTATATTAGTAAATGGGTTCACCACTGCGACAGACCGAAGAAAAACAAAACAAAAACAGGTGTATTCTTGTGAAAATATGCTTCTGCAAGTTAGTTCCTCCATGGCCTCATTCAATCGAGTGATTGTTTTCCTTAATTCGCATTACTCAACAATCACCACCTTCGCAACTGCCGCTTCTTCTACATCCAGGGGTCGGTTTTAAGTTCATACTTTGCGGGTGTATGTATCCTTTTACGCGGTCTAGACTCTAAGATACTCGGACTCTTCACTATGAGGGTTATTGGTGTGCGCGTTGCTACGCATGAAGTCGTTATACCATTGACTCTAAGCCAAATGTTGCGAGTTGCTTTACCAAATTACTATCTTGCTCAGCCTTTTCATTCTGCTTGATCTCAGCAAGTTTACGTTTGTGTTTTGCATACCTCTGTCAGACCTCAGTAAGTGCAAGCATCTTTTTTCAATCGCGTAATTCCTTTCTCGGACTTCGTCAACCGCCCTTTATGAATGTGCGTATTGCATACGCGACGATCTTTTTAAATCTCTTTCTCTAGTTCTGCTTCACTCATCACATATGATAATGTTTAAGGTTTTCAACGCTCTGATAAACAACGTTGATTTAGTCTGTCCCTGAGTGATTGGCCCTTTGGGAGTCACGATGGGGTCCTTTAGAAAAACGATCCTATTTTTGCAATGAATGAGCACCTCACCCTCGGGAGGTAGTGGGGTAACTCAGGGGGGCTAGTAGCTACGGGATCGTAGGATATCGTACACCCCCCC